CGGTCCCCAGATGAAAGGGCCATGCAAATATCACCTGTACGGTGCCTTACCTGGTCCCCAGATGAAAGGGCCACGCAAATATTACCTGTATGGTGCCTTACCTGGTTCCCAGATGAAAGGGCCACGCAAATATTACCTGTATGGTTCCTAAACCTGGTCCCTAGATGTAAGGGCCACGCCAATATCACCTGTACGGTGCCTTACCTGGTCCCCAGATGAAAGGGCCACGCAAATATCACCTGTACGGTGCTTACCTGGTCCCTACATAAAAAATATTTATGAAAGGCCCATGGAATTTTCCCGTACGGCGTTTTACTGGTAACGTAATCTAGACCCAAGTTCCTCACGCAGTCATTACCTGTAAGGTTTCCAGAGCTAAGAGCCGCACAAATGACTGTTTGTGGCTTATCCACCCAAGTGGAGTGATTATAGCCGTAAAGGTTGACGTTTTTTGCCCCTAAAAGCTGTGGATAAACGCCGGCAGCCCTCCCCACCGCTAGCTATCCCTCACTGCAGCAGCTGGTACCCCGACCAATAGCAGCGGGGAGCTTGCTGAGAAATTGACCAATAGCGGCGTGGCCGTCTTTCGTGGCCGTCCTACCATATTCTAGACCAAGCCATACCTCCGAGGGAACATGATCCAGCTTGCCTCTTGTTTCAGCCTGAACGCTTGGCAGCCATATTTGTTTTGCTTGTTTGCACGCTTGGCCGAAAGTTTGTACAATCGTAGAGGTATAGAAAGGACAGGAGAACGTTTGGTAAACGCAGTTATCTGGAGGTGTGTTTGTCAACATGCCTAACCAGTGTGTGGCAGCGAACTGCACGAACAAGAGGGCGGATGGCTTTAGCCTTTTCCAGATGCCATCGGACGAAAATCTGCGGGCGAAGTGGATTCAGCAAATTCGCCGTAGAAGATCTGGCCCGAACGGAAAGCTGTGGAACCCAACCAAGAACTCGTTTTTGTGCTGTGCACACTTCACAGAGGACTGCTTCAACCCTGTCTCAAAGTTGAAGCAACAGTTCGGGATTGAGATGAAACAACACAAGAAGTTCTTGTTGCCCGGGGCTGTTCCAAGTATCTTTCCCCGTGCCCGAGGCACAGAGTCAGAGGCGAGCACGGCGCAGCCTAAAAAGCGCAGGAAATCTGGTGCAGTTGAGAAAAGGCGCAGAATTGAGGTGGGTTTTTAGGATTTTTATGTTATGAGCACTAGAGTCGTTGTTGTAGAATTCAAATGCGTTTATGGTGTCATTTCTGTACGATAAATTGTCGTCTGAGTGGGATAATTTGTCAGTAGCGAACATTCATTTATTTCCCGCATGGAATGTTTCGCTAGGCTGCTAACAC